ACGAAAATACAGAATTTATTTTTAGTCTCACTACATTTATTAGTAACTTCATTTTCAATAACAATAGCCATTTAATCACAATAGCTATCTCATTGAATGATATTTTAAAAATTTATGATTTTTATTTTAAAAGTATTTATAGATAGGAAGAAATATGACAGTATATTGAAGCAAGATGTATATAAATTTTGTAATTTTAATACATAAAATAATTTATATTAGTCTCACAAATTTGATTATATTTTCATATTTTCTAAACGACCAATCGCAATTACTCATCGTTAATTAACATTATTAAATTATAATATTTTATACAGTAAAATATTTATGAAAAAAGAAATAAATATATATATAAATAAATATATATGAAAATAATAGAAATGTAAATGTTTAAAAAACAACATATGGAAGTAAATAAAAGCAATATATAGAAAAAAATAAATGTAAATTTTTGAAAAACAATATGTGGAATACATTAAACTTATATTCTTATTTTGCTAAGTTTCTTATTTTCCAACAAAAAAAAAAAAGAGTATTAACAAAAACTATATTCGATTAACCCTAGATCTTTTCATTATAAATAATAACCGGAGGCATCCTATTCTATCATAATTTTTAAATTGTATATTTTGAATCGTCGGTAACAGCTAGGGTTGCTTACTACTCTTTATTAGGGATAACAATAGCCCACACTGGAAGTTGAGTAGAATTTTAAGTAGTATATATAAGTTATGGACCTCTCCACTCATAGCCAATTGGTTTTGAGTTCAAAGCCCAAAGTCTAATATGGTATCAGAGCTCGATCTGCACATGCTCAACCCAATCTACATCGGCCCAACTAAATAATTGGTCCGCCGATCAATGCCCGAACATATCGAGATCAATGGCTAAAAGAGCCATCATCTCTAGCGGACGTATTAGGGATAATAATATCCCACACTGGAAGTTGAATAGGATCTTAAGTGGTATATATAAGATATGAGTTTCTCCACTCATAGCCAATTGGTTTTGAGTTAGAAGCCCACAGTCTAATACTTTTAATGGCCCATATTAAAATTTTTTTTATCGCTTTTGCCACTTGTAGCATTTGGACTTCTATTTTTTTTTCTCTCATACTCATAATTTAATATACTCACAAGTTATATTTTTTTTTTACTCTCATCATCGATTGTTACGATCGTTTGTTTTTGTGTGTGATTCACTCGGCATTACATCCACATCTAATGGATCTAACTTTCCTCCTTCCGAGATGCTATATCCCATAGAAATCAACAACTTTGTTACTTGCATATCTGCACCACCACCTAATATGTATATTATACTTCTGTTTGTTAGATTGTTTGTCATTTGAGACTGAGAGTAGTTTTTATTGTTTTGGTGAGAGTAGTATCGAAAGAGTCCGGCTAAGTTTGTGAATGGTAGATGTGCTAATGAAATAGAGAATGAAACAAAGGAAATGAGTGCTTGCAAAAAGATAGAAAGAGTGATAGCTTTATGGAAAAAATTGTGAAGACGGAAATTCATATTATTGAAAATAATGAGAAAAATATGAATTGTTAAAAATAAAGTATAGATAAGCTTATGAGTACACTTCTGTATAGAATCTTATATTTAGAAGAGCTACACTAACCAATATAGTGAAGATAGACAAAGAACAATAGTGAATTTGCGTATACCAAAATGAGAAAGTCGTCAAAGTTAGTCCTCATACAACAATAAATCTAGGAAAGTGGTGGTTGCGGTGAGACTTGAGAAACATACATCTAAGACCGTGCAAGGAAGCTCTCTTGGGAAAAGTGTCTAAGCCAATATTGTGAAAGATGTCTATGGCTAATGAGGTAACTTATTGCGTGGTTCTTTTTTGAAACTTAGGTTGTATATTTCTTCAGTTGGATGATATCTAACCAGAAAAAAGATATGAAGACTTGTGTTGAAATAATCGAAAAAGTTGTTCTTCTTAGCATACCAATTTCAATCAAAAACATGAATTAGGAAGACGTAAGAAAGATAATAAATTTAATTGATGAGATCAGTTTCCTTGCATTATGAACAATTGGCGTCATAATTAGGTAACAAAGAGGGTTGATCTCCAAGTAAAAAAGTGAAAGAGAAAGAGAGAAACGCGGTTGACACCATAACTCCATAAGACAAACTTGGATTATTAAATATGGAAAGAAAGTGAGAAAACAGTAATGACATGACCTCTTTATGGTAACGTTTTGTTCATATGTAGCTGAAACTTGATGGCGAGGTTTCTCATTGTGTTGGGATGAGCCATTTTTGTATAAGAGATGCTCTGATGATCTTTTAGGATGAATGAGGCCATTGTCAAAATATTATAATTATTTTCCTAATAGCAAAATCTTTAATAGTATAAAAAAGTAAGAGATAATGACACATCATATTTGTAATATATTTTATACTAAACTAGATAAGGACCCGTCCGATGGACGGGTTTATTTGTTTAAAAATTAAAATTAAATTTAACAAAAAATTAATTAATAACGTTGTAAGTAGAAATTTTCTTTCAAAAGTAAAAATAATATTTACTTTTTCACTTTTGCCTTAAATCATAAAATATTCATCATAAAGTTGGTAAATTAAATCAAAGTGGTGTTTAATTAGACACGTTAAAAATATAAATATGATAAAGCGACTAAATTCTTTTGCCTTCCAAGCTAACGTTGCAGGTTCGAATCCTACATACTCAATTGCAATAACTTTATGATCAATCAATAAAAATTAATAAATTCAAAAAATTATAAGCACGATGATATACGAATCTTATATAATTCAAATATGAACATAGAAATTGAAATAAACTATTTTGAAATAGTATAATTAAATTCAAAATATCAAAAAAAAAAAGAAGCATATATGTTTCTTGCATATTCAAGAATTTCAAATAAAACAATATAACACTTTACTTAAAATCATCACATATTTCTAATTAGGAAATTATATTGATATAAATAATGTAAATTTGTAATTTAATTCATGACACATGTCGCTATCTAAAATCATTAAAACTATGATATATTATAAATCTTATATAATTTAAACTGAACGTAGAAACCAAAATAAATAATTCAAAGATACAACAGTGAAACTAAAAATAAAAAATTATAAACACGATAATATATGAATCTTTGTTAATTTAAATATGAAAAGAAAAATTGAAATGAACAATCTAACTATACTACAATCATAATTGAAGAGCAAAAAAAAAAAACAGTTAAGTAAAAAAATAGTACAAAAAGGAAAAAAAAATTGATCTCAAATATTTCTAATTGAAAAAATAAACTCAAATAAATAATATGAGGATTAGTTTAACTAAATCATCACATATTTCTAATTGGAAAAGAAATTGAGATAAATAATATCAAAATTTTAAATTAATATATAATAATGTATGTTTCCTTTTTAATAAATTTGCCTTATTTTTTTCTTGTTTAATTGAAATATAGAAAACGTATAATTTCCTTATTATTATCTTTTGACATTTTTAAATTTTTTTTTATAAAAATATGAATTATTTAAAATTATTATTATAATTATCTTTTACATTTTTTAAATTATTTAAATTTGTAATTACTTTCAATTATCTTCTTTTTATTTTATAAATGAAATTTTTGTTTTACATGTGTCAAAATCTAAGATCGATAGATTGGCCACGTGTCACGATCATAATATGAGTTATTAACTTTGAAGACCATACTTTATATAATAAGATTTTACCTTATAAACTTTTTTTCTTATTAAAACAAAATTTTAAATAACGTAAATGATACTAAAAATATAAATAAGAACATTTATGTTAAATAGAATAAATAATAAACATTATAGTATTTTTGTATTAGTAATTTTAATGTATAGCTAATTAAACAAATACTAAAACCAAAAAAATATTAAATCAATTGATAACAACAAACCCCCGCGTAGCGGGGGTTAATAACCTAGTTAATAAAATGAAAGAATTCATTTATGTTATAATAGTATACTTTATATCATTAATATTAGCTACTATTTAAAACACTAAACCCTAAACCCTAAAACTAAACCCTAAACCCTAAATCCTAAACCCTAAACCCTAAACTATTTTTAAAAATGAATTTTTTTTTATGTTATTATTTGTTATAATTAATATTATTACTATTTCAAACAAATATAATCCAAAAACCTAAACCATACATTTCATACCCTAAACCCTATACCCTAAACCCTAAACCCTATACCCTAAACTCTTTAAAATTATAATTTTGTTATTATTTATATAATTATTAATATTATAATTAAATATTTATGTCTTTTTGAGATATTTGGTTATATTTGTTTATATTTCATTTTTTTTTTAACTTTTTATTCCAAAATTCGAAAATCATTTAAAAAATCTTAAAAATCTTAGAAATCATTTAACTTGAAACCTAAAGTACATGCCTTAAAATAATTAATTCAATTTTTTCCAATTAAAATGTTTTAAGTATGTGTTTTTGTGTTTAATATATTTTTGCCAAGAGATAACATATAATTAGTAACATGAGAAAACAAAGTCAAGTGCATGTAATAAAAGAAAACACAAAGTCATTTATAAATCCGTATTTTTTTTATAAATACGTTATTTTTTATAAATACAGTATATTTTTATAAATAAAATAAACTCTAAATCGAAAATAAAAATCTATAATGAAAATAGAAATTATTTTAATTACCAACAAAATAGTCTTAGGGGGGTGTATTGAAGAAAGAATTTAGAGTGATTTGAGTTTTAATGAGTTTTGAGATGATTTTGGTGAATTTTGGTGAATTAGAGAATTTGATATCAAAACTCTCTCAAATCCCACCTAAAACCATGGGATTTGGATATTTGAATTTTCAACTAAGATGTTCTCTGAAATCCCACCAAAAATCACTCAAGTCATTTCAAATCCACAACTTAAAATGTTTCCAATAACAGTGGATTTGATTGTAGATTTTAAAATCACTAATCCAATAACACTTGATTTTAAAAAGATTTTTAAAATTCATGTTTGAATAACATAGGATTTATCTTTTTAATACAAATCATTTCAAATCCTTTATTGAATACACCCCCCTTACACATGAAAATAAACAAAAAAAATTGTCTTAAAGTTTCTAAACATAATAAACCTAATTGTGATACAGAGGTCTCTCTGGTGGTGTCTTTGCCTGTGTCTGTGCATGTGATGATTTTGAAACTTGCTGTCAAAGAATCATCAATCACTGTCCTCTGTCAACTACAACCACAAAATAAATCATCAAGATCAGAGAACAGATCAGTGTTTTGAAGTCATGACCAATATGTGATTTAAGAACTATAGTACAGTACCTAAGAGAAGATGTTCAATTAAATATGGACAGTACTGTCATGTATAATGTGAGATGACCCTAATCAAATTAGATTTAGCAACTCTTACTGGCCACTGTATACAAGGCAAGAAAAGTAAAACTCAAGTCGATAAGCAACAAGTTCAATGTGGAACCATGAGTATCAGTCTTTATAGCATACTTAAGGCTGCTAAAAAGTCCACTCCTTTCAATTGTTTTTAGAAGCTATTAGCACCAATGTTACATCGACTAGAGCTATGGACTGGTAACTTACGGGGACATGAGAGTCACAGGCGTTTCTCTTGGCGTCAGTTGCTGAGAAGACTGTGTATACAAGGACGAATTTGCCAATGATCTCAGCTCCAAGACCACTTCACTTGTTGCTTTATCTTCTTTATCTCTCTTGAATCAGATACAAATGGAATGAGTTCACGCAAAGAAGCTAAAACTAATCTCAATTTTGTCAAAGATTATATAGCTTTATGGTCTCATCTCTCCACCTGATTGCAGTAAAAAAGGCATATACATATGTACTCTTATCATTTGCATATGTGATTTGTCATACCGTTCTGCATAATAACCAAAATCAAATTAGTCCAATTGTGTTAGGAAACTGAACAACAGAAGAAAAAATATAAACATATACTCAATGAGATTCTTATCTTGGAAGCCTAACACATGCTTTGTCAATATTACACCAATACGACCATAGCTCCACACCACCAATTATACAATTTGTGATAATAAGTTCAAAGGATCACACTCAAATAACTCACATGCATCAACACACTAGAAAGAAAGTAAAGAAACAAAGAGTAGTAACAACAAGAGAGGTATCAATTAATTGGCCATTGGTCAAAGTTGTTTATAAGAGAGATGTCATATTACTTATTTACTTACATCTGAGCACAAGAAAAGCTTCACAAAGTTCTGTGCAAGTTGCCAGAGAGTTTCTCCTTCTTGTGGTCTTAAAACAGCAAAAAAAAGGTTAGACTAGTTTAGCTTCCAGCTATTATCACCAACACAAATCCTATCCTGGAAAATGTTAATAACTAGAGCATTCTTAGGCAAGAATCACTTGCAAGGACCTGTTCTCATTTGTATCGAATACTCACATCAGACACAAAATGTATAACAAAAAGTAAAGAAATAATATCTTAAACAAGTAAAAGAACAAGGTAGGAACGGACAAGAAGTTTGAAGATTAGGAATCAAGATTCTGCAAACAAAAGAACGACATGGATTATCAGAATCATTACAACATAACTCATCTTTAATTGAACAGCTACAAAGCCGTAAATACCTTGTAGTTCTTGTACTGAACAGCTACAGAGCGGCAACTACAGATCCACAAATCCAACTACACATCAGAAAAAGAAACATGAGACATCAATAATCATGAGAGCAGTGGCATCGACCGGTAAGGACTAGAGACAAGAGCTAGGAAACCAAATTAGCATATACGAGAGCAATAAACTTTTTCACACTAAGCATTATCTCAAGATACAGAAAAAATAGAGTCTAAACTCAGACAAAAAAATCAATCGAAAACACTGATTGAAAGTCGAACACCCAAGCTCACATAAGAAAGAAACACGATTCAAATCAACAAACAAAAATCCAAAACCCAATTACTTCAAAAACAACAAAAACAGATGAAACACAAACTGAATCATTGAGAATAACGAACACCCATACATATATTTTACCTTTATGTATCAAAATCGAACACCCATACTTATGAACAATTGAACAATGTTTTGTTATAATATTGATGAGAGGAGGAAGAAACAGAGTAAGAGACCATTGTCTCTTCTCTTTCTAAACAAGACAAGAAGTAAAACTGAAACTTTTATATATCTCCGACACTTGTTATTTACATCAAGACTAACTTTGGTTTATATATGGAAAACAAATAGACACAACAATACAGTGACTTGTGTCTCTTCATACTTAGTGACTCGTGAGTGAAACAACACAGACCGAAACATCACAAGTCATGAAACGTTGCAACTTAGAAAACTCAATTATTGACTAACATCCAAAAAGAAAAAAAGACAATATGTTCCCATATCAAAAACGACAATACCAATTATCATATCGTACATAAGAACAAGAGCATGAGTAAAGTAATAAACAGCTAATTCCCATTATCTTTCATTAGCAAATTCCACAAACTTCAAAGCTAAAAACAAAATCAAAACAAAGCAGTTTCTTGTGAATTGTTCAAACAGCTTGAGATGAGTTCCACGAGCAAGGCATGGATGGTGGCAACGAGCATTGGGTTCGTAGAAGCATTGAAATTTATAAACCCAGATATTACAGACACAAAATCAGATTGGGAACTTCAATGACTTACAAAGAAACATCAATTCCTAAAAATTAGTATCTTTGAGAAGATTGATTAGTTCATAACTAAAATTAAGAACTAGTAAATAGTCAAGAACTAAAATTACCCAATTGAATGTCGTATACCTTTCAGGTGGATGAGATCAGCTGGTTTCGAAGCTACTGAGACAGACAAGGAGAGAAACGGATCTATTGAGACAGAGAAGCTACTGAGTTCGAGGCTAATGAGACTTAGATCGCCTGAGCTATTGAGACAGATACAGAGACGGAGTCGAAGAGAGATAGAGACGGAGAGATATGGCGACGGAGGAGAGAGACGGTGGCGGATCTGAGAAACAACCGCAGAGAAAGAAGGAGAAATACAGAGACGGATAGTGGAGAATCGATGGAGATTGTGGTGCTGATAATCGAAATTTCTTCAATGGCAATCGAGAGTTCATGCAATAATGGGTATTCAGATTTCACAAACACTTTGAGATTGAATTGAAATTTTGGAGAAAGCTTTTTTTTCTTTTTTGTTGGAGCTAAGTGTAAATCGAGACTTTTTTGGTTGGGGGAGAAAAACCCAAAATTTTTGCCTCCAAAATTATACCTTTCCCCGCTATAATACTGAGTTAAGTCCCCGTTTAATGAAAAGTTGAAAACTATATCCTAGCGTTAATATAGTGCTGCGAAATACTTGCCATCCGATTTTGGAACTTTTAGTAGCAGTTCGTAAATTAGCGCTACAAAGGAGTGCTACCGAAGCTCATATTTCTTGTAGTTACTCAAAGCAAAAAAAATGATCCAAGTTAAAGCTAGAAACCTGCAAGTAGAAGTCGGTGAAATCGCGATCCAACTGTTTCCATTGAGTGTGTTTTCCTGCCTGTGGATTAGTCTCTATGAAGAATGTTGGACGTTTTCTCAACTGCAAATAAACATTTCAAAGGTCATTAATCAAGGCTCGTAACTAATTACAAAATGTACATGAGTATGTTTAGTACCTCGATTTTGAGGATTCCAGTTTCATCATGTGTATAAATACTCTCTTCAAAAGATGAGACATCATTCCATTGAATCTCGATCTTTCTCTTCAGCCTTGGCATGTTAGTTTCTTCTTCTCCGAAGAGAAACTCCCATATAAGTTTCTTCTTTGCAAAATAGAATTTTGCCACAATATCTTCAGGGTTTATTGCAACGGGGGTCCATGTTCCAATTTTGATCATGGAGATTGGGAAATTCATAGCTTTTAGTTTCTCAGAACTCTTAGGAAGAATTGAGGTCTTTGAGTTCTCTATTTGTTGATGAGGACATGTGTAGTTTTTATTGAGGTAAGTTTCAATCTTGTTGATAAGCTCCGGAGTCGTTGTTAGAGGCAAGTTTAGAAGTGGAACCTGAAAAAACATTGAGAATAAATCATAGAGAAATTGTTAAAAATGCTCATTTTTCAATACCCCTTTTCAAAAATGCCCCCTTTGAGAGTCTATTTTTAAGTTTGCCCTCTTTTAATTTTTAATGACCATTTTACCCTTATTTGAAACAAAATTAGGTCCACAAAATACAAAATATTTTTTGGCGGGAAAAGTGATCCCGCAATTTTCCCGCCAAAACACTTGTAAAAACCTTTAAAAAACCTTGTAAAATTTTCCCGTAAAAATTTTTCCCGCCAAAAAATTTTCCCGCCAAAAAATTTTTTTTGCGGGAAAAGTGATTCCGCAATTTTTTTTGCGAAATTTTTTGGCGGGAAAAATTTACAAGGTATTTTAAAGG